TGGCTAGGTCGCTTGCGAGGCCGCTGGCTAGCTAGCTGGCAGGCTAAGGCGGGCTGTTCAGCTAGCTGCAGCTAGCTAGCTAGCTGCCTAGGGCGCCCACGACAGGCGCAGCTAGCTAGCCGCTTCTGGCTAGCTGGGCTAGCTAGCTAGCTGCTTGCTGCTGCAGCAGCTAGCTAGCTAGGCTAGCTAGCTAGCTGCTGCTGCTGCAGCTAACCCCCCCGCTGACCATGGCTGCCTCGTCTTTGAAGTATTTGGGACTCTGCAGCATTTGGGCTTCCAAGCTGTAAACCAGCTGCAGAAGACAGAGTCCTCGGAGCCCCTTGAGGGCTGCTGCTGCAACCTGCAGCATTTCCGCGGAATTAAATCAAAAAATGAACCAAAATGCATTTTAAATCTCCAAAAACGGAATTAAAATCAAAAAATAAGCCAAAGTGCATTTTAAATCTCCAAAAACGGAATTAAAATCAAAAAATAAACCAAAATGCATTTTAAATCTCCAAAAAACGGTCATCTTGCCCACCGCCAGCTGTACGTACACCCCGGCGGCGCCGCTAGGGTGTACAGACACCTCAGATTTCGTTTGGAAATAAATGAATTAATTCTGTCATTCATTTGAAGAGATCTTTGTAAACTTTGCATGCAAATGCAGCTTAACTTTGTGCATGCATTTGCACAAATCCAAAATATATTTAAAAATAAATAAGGACTTTAATTAATCCTGAAGATAATAAGTCCACAAATAATGTGCCACAATCTGTGTAGAATCTAAAATATGTATATAAATATATACATTAATTTATATATATATATATATATTATATTTATTTATTTATTTATTTATGGGGCATTTCTATGAATATATACATATAAATATATTTATATATATTTTTATGCTTAATATATTCATATATTCAAATACTTACACATATTTGAGGGTTTTTTAATTTATTACTCAAAAGCATTTAGCCATCACAAGCAGCGAACGCTGCAGTGCCAAACCCTAAACCCTAAACCCTAAACCCTAAACCCTAAACCCTAGGCAGTGCAAGACCACACACTCCAGTGCATTAAAACAGAATTTGCAAAAACTAGAAAATTAAACTCTTTAAGCTCTTTTTATGGCTTGCAGCTGTAGATACACCTCAACTCCGTGCCTGCTGCTGTTGCTACTGCTGCTGCTGCTGCTGCTACTGCTGCTGTTGCCACTGCTGCTGCTGCTGCTACTGCTGTTGCTACTGCTGCTGCTGCTGCTGCTGCTGCTGCTGCTGTTGCTGCTGCTGTTGCTGCTGGGCTCACCTTCCCCGCGTTCTTGAGAGAAAGTTCTGCTGCTTCCATTCGCCACAAAGCGCTGCCTGCAGCAGCAGCAGCAACAAGTGCTGCTGCTGCTGCTGCTTGCTGCGCCTTTTCTTTGACCCTCAAGGGGGGCCCCCGCCGCACCCCGATGGGCTCTTCGTTTTGCTGCAGCAGCTGCTGCAGCTCTGAACAAGCAGCAGCAGCAGCAACAGCAGCAGCAACAGCAGCAGCAGCAGTGAAAGTTAGAAGGGGCTGGCCACTGCTGGCGGAAAGTAGTAGTCTGTTAGGCAGCAACAGCAGCAGCAACAGAAGCAGCAACAGCAGCAGCAAATGCAGCAGCAACAGCAGCAGCAACAGCAGCAGCAAATGCAGCAACAAGAAAAGCAGCAACAACAGCAGCAGCGCCATCAGCACTAGCAGCAATTGTGACAGAAACTGCAGCAGCACCAAGAGCAGCAGTAGCACAGAAACAGCAGCAGCAGCAGTAGCAGCAACTGTAGCAGCAGCAACAGCAGGACCATACCAGCAGCAGCAGCAGCAGGGGCCGACCGCTGCAGCAGCAGCAAAGACTTCAGCTTTATGTCCGCCACTTCGCCTGTCCAAAGACGCCCCAATAGCTGCAGCAAATCGCATCTCGCGCAGCAGCAATTCACCTGCTGCTGTTGCTGCTGCTGCTGCTGCTGCTGTTAGTGCTGTTGCTGCTGCTGCTGCTGCTGCTGCTAGCGCGGTAGGCGCCGTTATTACTGCAGCAGCTGCTGCTACTCCCGTTTTCGACGTGGTTTCGGTGCCGTTGCTGCCGCCGCCACTACTATTACTGCTGCTGCTGCTGCTGCTGCTGCTGTTGCTGTTGCTGTTGCTGTTGCTGCTGCTGCTGCTGCTGCTGCGCTTAGCCCTTAGTGTAGATCTACGCAGTGTAAACTCAACAGCAATAAATGAGGCAGCAGATTTAAATCACTGTCTCTGTGCTAAACCCTAAACCCTAAACCGCAACCCTAACCCCTAGCCACTAGCCCTAGACTCTAAACCCTAAACCCTAAACCCTAAACCCTAAACCCTAAACTCATACTCCCAAGTTCGCAATGGGGTTGCGGTGTCTGTACACCGTGGCGGGGTCCGTCAGGAAGTTGAGAACAGGCCTTGCTTCTGTTGGTGCTGCTGCTGCTTCTGCTGCTGCTGCTGCAGGTTCTGCCCGCTGCTGCTGCTGCTGCTGCTGCTGCTGCTGCTGCTTGTTGGCGCCTGCGCTGGCGGGTGGCAGCAGCTCGTTGCTGATGATGCTGCTGCTGTTTTCTTTGCACTGAGCAGCAAAAGAGAGACTTGAAGTTGCTTAAAGAAATGAAAAAGAAGCAAAGCAGCAGAAGTTGAGGGCCTAGGGTTTAGGGTTTAGGGTTTAGGGTTTGGAAGCCCGGGACAGGAAGCAGCAAAATAAACCCGCCTGCAGCAGCCGGTACAGCAGCAGCGCCTGACGCTCCCTCAGCAAAGGAGATAAATTCCACAAAGACACATCAGCAGCAACTAAGTCCGCCAAGTCCTCATAAGGCACTGCGCGCCCCTGCAGCAGCAGCAGCAGCAGCAGCAGCAGCAGCAGCAGCAGCAGCAGCAGCGGTGGCTGTGGAGTCACTGGGGCCAAGGCTGCTCGCCTGCATCTGTTGCTTGGCAGGGAAGCGTAGCAGCAGCAGCAGCAGCAGCAACAGCAGCAACAACAGCAGCAGCAACAGCAGCAGCAACAGCAGCAGCAGCAGCATAGACAACAGCAGCAGCAGCAACAACTCAGCAGCAGCGAACCTCTGCCGGTATCACATCAAGCAGCCTGAAGATAAGACGCAGCAGCGAAACCCTTTGTGATGCGCTGTACCGGCTAGCAACCTGCTGCTGCTGCTGCTGCTGCTGCTGCTGCTGCTGCTGCTGCTCTGGGGCTGCTGCATCTTTATCGCCTGCTGCAGTTCTACCTTTGTCGCTGCTGGAGTCCTTGCACGTTGCTGCTGCTGCTGCTGCTGTTGCTGGACCTGCTGCTGCTGCTGCTGCTGCAGTCGTCGGCAGCTGCGAGGACTGCCTTTTCACGTCCACTAAAAGCTCCCTCAGCAGCAGACGCAGCAGTCTATTCCCCGCAGCAGCAACAGCAGCAGCAGGGGCAGCAGCAGCAGCAGCAGCAGCAGCAGCAGCAGCAGGGTCCTCTGAAATCTGACTATGCCGCTCTATGAAGCGCCGTCGCGCCGGCCGCGTGCAAGTCAAGGCCTCAAGTGCTGCAAAGCAAAGCAGCAGCAGCAGCAGCAGCAGCAGCAGCAGCAGCAGCAGCAGCAGTACCACTAGCAGCAGGAGCATGTGGCACCCGTGCTATGAGCAGCAGCAACTTGTAGCACAGCTGCTGCGGCAGCGACAGCAGCAGCAGGAGGGAAACCGCAGCAGCAGGTGCAGCAGCAGACGCAGCAGCAGCGGCAGCAGCAGCGGCAGCAACAGGGGCAGCAGCCGTGGCAGCAGCAGCAGCAATCCCTCCTACTACATGGGGGGCCCCCTTTATGTACATTGGGGGCCCCATTTTGGGTCCTTTTGCTGCCTCACTTGCTATTGCCTGCGTCTGCTCCTCCTGCAGCAGCACAGCCCCCTGCTGCTGCTGCTGCTGCTGCTGCTGCTGCTGCAGCTGCTGCACCGGGCAAGGCTCAATTTGGGCCTCCAGCAGCAGCGGCAGCAGCAGCGGCCCCAAGTGGCTGAGCCACTCCGCGCCCCACAGCTGTACGTACACCCCACACCCCACACTCTCGAAACCTTGACCCTAATGGGGGGCCCCCTGGGGGCCCCCAAGCCCACCAGGGGCCCCTGGGGGCCCCCAAAGCCTAGTAGGGGGGCCCCCTAGGGGCCCCCTAAACCCACTGGGTTCTGGGCCTCTGGGGGCCCCCAGAACCCTTCCCCAGGGGCCCCTAAAGGCTCAATAGGGGGGCCCCCAAAACCTAATAGGGGGCCCCCAAAACCTATTTAGAAGTACCCTAAAGCCTACTCTAGTTAGGAGGCCCCCAGAGGCTGATAGGGGGGCCCCTACCTGCATGCCGCTGCTGCTGCTGCTGCTGCTGCTGTTGCTGCTGCTGCTGTTGCTGCTGCTGCTGCTGCTGCTGCTGCTGGGGATATGGGGTGTGTGCGTCTTGGGTGTCTATACAGCTGCAGCAAGCTCCATCTTGTGTTTTTGTTTGCTTTTTCGAATTTAAAATTTGCATTTTAAAATAATTAAAATAAAACAAAAAGGGGATTTAAATGCTGCTTTATGCAAAGCATTTTAACGGCCAAATCTTCACTTACCGCAACCCAGGGGGCCCCCAGGGGGGCCCCCCGGGGGGCCCCCACGGGGGCCCCCCGGGGGCCCCCCTCTTTTTGCTGCTGCTTGAGGGGCCTCATCCCGAAGAAGTAAATTGCGGTGTACGTACACCCGAAGCAGGCGGTGCACAGCAGCGCCAGCCTTGACAACCGGCAGTTGCTCCACCAGCCTCCTGAAAGCGCCAACAACAAACCCTAAACCCTAAACCCTAAACCCTAAACCCTAAACCCTAAACCCTTGTCCACCAAGCCTTGCAGAGGGGCGCCCGCCAGCTGAAGCGAAGGCGCGAGAGGCGGCAGGGCCCTACAGTCAAGGGTTTAGGGTTTACGGTGTAGGCCATAGGCTTAAGAGTTTGGGACTAGGGTTTAGGGTTTAGGGTTTAGGGTTTAGGGTTTAGGGTTTACCTGGCAACAAGGCTTTCTGCAGCTGCGACAAGCCGGCATCATCAGCGGAATCCCTCGTGCTGCAGAAGGCCCTCAGGGGGGCCCCCAGCCGGGGGGCCCCCCAAGAGTTTGGGGCCCCCCGCAGCCCTGGGGGGCCCCCCAAGCTGGGGGGCCCCCCAAAGAGGGGCCCCCTTCCGCTGGATGGGGGCCCCCCATTCAGGTTCAAGGGTACGCCGGGGGCCCCGCAGCAAGCATGCGGCGTCAGTACCCGTTTAAGGGGCCTCCTAGGGGCCCCAAGGCCCAGGGGCCCCCAACTGGGGGGCCCCCAGCTGGAGGCCCCCACACAGCTGGGGGGCCCCCCTAAGCAGCAAGTGCGAGCCCTCATGGGGCCCCTGTGTACGTACACCGCAGCACAGCCAGCAAGTATGGGGGGCCCCCCAGGGCTGTGGGGCCCCCCAAGTTTGCTGCGGGCTCTGCAGGGCCCCCGGGGGGCCCCCTCAGGCCTTGAGGGGCCCCCTAAGACCCTCTTGACCTCAAGGGGCCCCCAGGGGCCCCCTAGACCTCAAGGGGCCCCCGAGGGTTTGCTGCAGCTGCAGCTAGCGAGGGAGGCGGCAGGCGCAGTGCCTCTACAAGTTTGAAATTATTTATTTTATTTTAAAATTATTAAATAATTAACTCAATAAATAAACACAAACCCGCGAGTACCCAAATCAAGGCTCTGGGGGCCCCCGACGGGGCCCCCAGTCCTCTGGGGGGCCCCTGGGGGCCCCTGGAGGCCCCTGGGGGCCCCTGGGGTACCCTGGGGGCCCCTGGGGGCCCCCCTGCCACCTTTGTTGTTAATATTTACTTTTGCTGCTGGATTTTACCAATTGGCATTTGAGGTTGCTTTTAGTTTGGTGGGTCCCGTGGCTTCAGATGTCTTGGGCCGGGCCCCTGCAGTGCTTTGAAGTAGGGTTTAGGGTTTAGGGTTTAGGGTTTAGGGTTTAGGGTTTAGGGTTTAGGGTTTAGGGTTTCGGCTAGAATTTGAACAGCGCCGTGGGCTTTTCCCGCCGTTCGAGCGTCTGTGCTGCGCGCCCGGCGCACATGAGCAGGGTTTAGGGTTTAGGGTTTGGAGTTTGGCCTGGAATGCGCTGCGCAAGCAGCAGCAGCAGCAGCAGCAGCAGCAGCAGCAGCAGCAGCAGCGAGTCTGCTGCGCGGGACCTGCTGGCCCGCAGCGACGCCTACTTCGGCCAAGTCGGGCTGCTGCCGCTGCTGCTGCCCCTGCCAGTCCTTGGCAGCACGGGGGCCCTCAAGAGGGGCCTCTTAAGGGCCTCCATTTCATCAAGTGCATTTATAACATCTTTTCTTTTGGGGGCCCTTTCCCCGCCCCGGGGGGCCCCCCCGCAGCCCCCGGGGGGCCCCCCGGCCGAGTCCGGGGGCCCCCAGCCCGCAGGGGGGCCCCCCCGGCCAGAAGGGGGGCCCCCAGCAGGCGAGGGGGGCCCCCAGGGGGAGGGGGGGGGCCCCCAGGGAGAGGGGGGCCCCTCTGTAGCAGGGGAAGCTGGGGGGCCCCCAGGGGCCAGGGGGGCCCCCTCGCAGGGGCCCCCGGGGGCCTCCGGGGGCCCCGGTTTGGGCGCTGGGAGTGTTGCTGCTGCTGCTGCTGCTGCTGCTGCTGCAGCAGATGTGGGGTTTGAGGTGTACAGACACCAGGAAGTTGCTGCTGCGCTGCTGCCAGCGCTGGTGCTGCGGGAAAAGCTGCGGGTAGTGGCAAGAGAGTTGGGGGCCCTAAAGGGGGCCCCAAAAGACCCGGAAGAGGCTCTTGAAAGTACCCACTTTTGCGGGAAAGGGGGGCCCCCGGGGCCCCTCAGGGGGCCCCTCTTCTCCAGTGCCCAGCTGCTGCTGCCGCCACTCAAACGCGTAAGCCTCTAGGGGGCCCCTCGGGGGCCCCCAAGGCCCTAGGGGGGCCCTTAAGGGTCTAAGGGGGCCCCTAGGGGTTTAGGGGGCCCCTTATGGGCTTATTGGGGCCCTCGGGAGTCTAAGGGGGCCCCTAAGGGCCTAGGGGGCCCTCCTGAGGGCATGGGGGCCCCTTGAAGACTTTGGGGGCCCCCCAAGGTCGTTGGGGGCCCCCATGGGTCTAGAGGGTCCTTAGAGAGTTCGGAGGGGCCCTAAGCACCTAGGGGGCCCCTAAGGGGCTCAGGGGGGCCCCCGAGGACGTTGGGGGCCCCTAAGGACCTTGGGGGCCCCTTTAGGGGGCCTCTAAGGGCCTTGGGGGCCCCATAAAAGGGGGCCCCTAAGGGCCTTGGGGGCCCCCTATAGGGGGCCCCCAAGGCCCTGTGGGAATGTATGTAAAGATTAAAATGTTCATAATGAGTAGCTGCATGCGGTGGATAGTTTTTTTTCTTTTTCTTGAATTTTTGATTTATATTTTTTCATTTTATTCTCCAATTGATATTATTTATCTTTTTAAATTGTTAATTTGTTTGTCGGGCTTTTTTGCGGGTCAAATAAAGTCCATTTGAGTCCATTTTGATTAGAAGTTGTAATGGACTTTTACAACAATTAATCAATGAACAAAGAAATGAAAAACATAATTAATTAATTAATTAATTAATTAATTAATTAATTAATTAATTAATTAAAATTAAAAAAAGGAAGAAAAAAGTGTTGTGGGGTTTGCTGCTGCTCAGGCGCTCGAGTGTATAGACAGCAGCAGCAGCGAAGGGCTGCTGCTGCTGCTGTGCGAGCGCCGTGCTGCTGCTGCTGCTGCTGCTCCGTTTTGCTTCTCCTTCGACACTGCAGCAAAAGCGACTGCGCAGCAGCAGCAAGAGCGGCTGCTGCTGCAGCAGCAGCAGCAGCAGCAGCAGCCACCCATCACTGACTTCAGCTTCGGAGTTGTTGCTGGGGGTTTATTGTCAATTAATAAATTGGGACAAAGAGAAATTACTAATTTGTTTTGCACAGAAACACTCCCCGAAGACGCCACCCACCAGCTCGTAACAAACCCTAAACCCTAAACCCTAAACCCTAAACCCTAAACCCTAAACCCTAAACCCTAAGGTCGCGCGGAGGCGTAAACCCTAAATCAGCGGCAGGCTTTAAGCTCTACGCCTTCGCGCACTCTGTGGGCCTCAGCCCTTACGCAAACCCTAAACCCTAAACCCTAATCCCTTCGGCGGGCCCTAGACCCAAACCCCAAACCCTAAACCCTAAACCCTCGGCGCATGCAGACTGCAGCTGGGGTTTGCGAAGCAGAAAAACTTAATAAATGAATAAACCTTATTAAATAAAAAGCGTTTAACAAAATAGCATTTGCTGGGGCGCTGCCCACGAGGGTTTAGGGTTTAGGGTTTAGGGTTTAGGGTTTAGGGTTTGTGCGCTCAGGTGCGGGTGTTTGTGATGCGGCTGCTGGCTGTGGGGTTTCTGTGGCCCAGCGTGTACAGCTGTGGGGCCCCAGCAGCAGCAGCAGCAGCAGCAGCAGATATAAAAGTCCCTTTGTTGTCTTTGCTGCACTTCCCCCGCCCCGCAGTGGACTTCCTGTGTCTGCCCTGGGGGCTGCAGCTTTCGCGCCACGTTGCTGCGCTGCCCCGCAGCAGCAGCAGCAGCAGCAGCAGCAGCAGCAGCAAGAGCAGCAGCAGCAGCAGCGAGGCCAGCAGCGAGCGCTTTACCGACGAGGGGCCCCACACTGACCAAACCAATGGCTGCAATTGCCTCAAACGCATGCAGCGAAAACTCAACCAGCAATTCAACAAACTCAAAAATGCCCAGCGAGGGGGCCCCTCGGGGGGCCCCCCAGGGGCCCCCCCCCGGGGGGGGCCCCCCGGGGGCCCCCCAGGGGGCCCCCCAGGGGGCCCCCCAGGGGGCCCCCCAGGGGGCCCCCCAGGGGGCCCCCCAGGGGGGCCCCCCGGGGGCCCCCAATACCAGCGCAGTGCCGCTCAGGAGGGGCCCTTAGGGAGCAGCTTCTTATGGGCACAACTAGGGGGCCCCTACGCGAGCCTGCAGGGCCCTGGGGCCCTCCTTTGGGGGCCCCCAGGGGGGCCCCCCACCACGGCGACCCCCGGTGGTGGGGGCCCCCCAGGGGGGCCCCCAGGGGCCCCCAAAGGGGGGCTGGGGGCCCCTGAGGACTGGGGAAACCCTGAAGAAGAGTGGATTGAGTTTTGGGCAATTAGCAAAAGGCGGTTTTATTTTATTTGGGGCCAAAGGAGTAATCAAATAGTGCCTGGGGCCCCTGCAAAGTCCCTTATAGAAGCCGTAAACCCTAAACCCTAAACCCTAAACCCTCGACAAACCCTAAACCCTAGCAGCCTTCGCCGCGAAGGCAAAGGCCCCCATAAACCGTACACCCTAAACTCTCCATATATCCCAAACCCTAAGTAAACCCTAAACCCTCAATAAGCTGTGAATCCACACTAAACCCTAAACCCTTTATAAACCCCAAATCCTAAACCCTGCGCAACTTATTAACTCCCCGTAAACCCTAAACCCTCGGCAAACCCTAAACCCTGAAAAAGCACTTCCTGTCTTGAAAAGCCAAGGTCTCAAATCTAAACTCTGACTCCAAACCCTAAACCCTCATAGCCAAACCCTAAACCCTCATCGCCAAACCCTAAACCCTCATCGCCAAACGCTAAACCCTCATCACCAAACCCTAAACCCTCACCACCAAACCCTAAACCCTCACCACCGAACCCTAAACCCTCACCACCAACCCTACTTCTAGTCCTCCAACTTTCGATAATTTCTGCAGAAGTTTCAAGCCAGCCTAAACCCTTTCATCCTCAAACCCTAAACCCTTTCAGCCCCAAACCCTAAACCCTTTCAGCCCCAAACCCTAAACCCTTTGAGCCCCAAACCCCAAGCCATTCCAGCCCCAAACCCTAAACCCTTTCGCCCCAAACCCTAAACCCTTCCGCCCCAAACCCTATACCCTTTCTCCCCAAACCGTCTATATTCTCTGCGGATTCGCTGCTTTTAGGGTTTAGGGTTTAGGGTTTAGGGTTTAGGGTTTGCGTCTGTGCAGTTTGACTCTCCGCTCAAATTCCCCTTTGATGGGCCTGAGGGCCCAGGGGGGCCCCCCTCTTCCGCGCCGAGGCCCCGCGGGGGGCCCCCCAAGCTAAAAAGGGTCAGGGGGGCCCCCCCCTCCAGCAGCAATTTGGGGGCCCCGGGGGCCCCCCCCTCCAGCAGCAATTTGGGGGGCCCCCCCAGCAGCAGCAATTTGGGGGCCCCCCTTCAAGAGGAGACAGTTGAAGAGACCTCGAGGCCCCGAAAAAGCAGAACTTGCAAACGGGCGAATCCAGGCTTGCCTGCTGCTGCTGCTGCTGCTGCTGCTGCTGCAGCAGCAGCGGAGCCTGCTGCAGCTGCTGCTGCTGCGGCGGAGCCCGCTTCCACTGCTGCTGCAGCAGAGCCTGCTGTTGCTGCTCCCGCTGCTTCTGCTGCTGCTGCTGCAGCACTAGAACCCCCCTGTGGATTCGCCTCAGGAGGGGGGCCCCCCGGGGCGCCTCAGGGGGGCCCCCAGGGGGGTCCCCAGGGGGGCCCCCAGAGGGGCCCCCAGGGGGGCCCCCAGGGGGGCCCCCCGGCGGTGGCCTGGGGGCCCCCGTAGTCGCTCGGAGTTTGAATTAGCTGACTTAGATAATTTCATTCAAATGAAAAATATTTTTTATTTTGATTTTTAGTTTATTGCTTTTTTGTTATTGCTTCGAGATGAGCTGGCGCGTGCTGTTGAAGACTTATTTGCAAGTAATACAATAAATAAAAAGAAATAATTAATTGAATTAATTTAATAATGAATTAAGTAGTTAGTTCGATTAATTAATTAATTTAATTTATTAATTAATTAAAGTCTACATAAAACGGAAAAAAAATAAAAGACCGAAAAAAGATAAAAAGGCGGAAAATGGCAAAATAAAGGAAAATAAAGACGAAAAGAAGACAAAAGAAGACAGAAAAAGATTAAGAATATAAAAAAGACAAAAACTTTCAAAAAAAGGAGAAAAAAGACAAAAGAAATAAAGAAATGAAATAATTGAGGCAAGGGCCCCCCATGGGGCCCCCAAAGAAAAGCCCCAAACTTAAACAAATCTTAAGTCCACAAGTTCGAAAGAAATTCCCTAAAGGGGGGCCCCCCGACACAGGGGCCTCCCCAGGCTTCTGTGGGGGCCCCCCACCTTCTAGGGGTTTAGTACCCTGTGGGGGGCCCCCCTAAGGGGGCCCCCGCGGAACATTTCGGGGCCTACAGCTCACCTGGGGGCCCCTCAGCAGCCCTTCAAGTCCCCAGGGGCCCCCAGGTTTTGCTGGGGCCCTCAAGGGGAGGGCCCTATTCTACTTTTGGGGCCCCCCAACAACCTTGGGGGCCCCCTTGGGGGCCCCCTTGGGGTCCACCTTGGGGGCCCCCAAGGGGCCCCTTGGGGGCCCCCTTGGGGGCCCTGCTCCCTCTTTAAGGACCCAGCAGCGTTGGGGCCCCACAGACAGCCTAGAGAACTTCAGAAACACATTGGGGCCCCCAGAATCAGATTTGGGGGCCCTTAAAACAGATTGGGGGCCCCAGAAATGCATTAGGGGGCCCCACAAACAGATTGGGGGCCCCACAAACAGATTGGGGGCCCCCAGAAACAGGATGGGGGGCCCCCCATACAGCTTGGGGGGCCCCACAGGCAGGCTGGAGGGCCCTATACACAGCTTTGGGGGCCCCACAAGCAACTGTGGGGCCCCACAGGCAAATTAGGGGCCCCACACGCGGACTGAGGGGCCCCCCAGGTGCATTGGGGGGCCCCCGAAACAGACTGGGGCCCCCAGATACACAGGGGGGCCCCGGAGACACGGTGGGGGGCCCCACAGGCACACTGGGGGCCCCACAGGCACATTAGGGGCCCCTTATACAACTGGGGGGCAACTGAACAACTTGGGGCCCCAAGGGGGCCCCCCAAAGGGGGCCCCCAAAGGCAGCTTGTGGGGCCCTATTTACAGCTCGGGGGGCCCCCCGGGAAGCTTTAGGGGCCCCAAAAAGAGCTTTTGGGAGTACCCTTTGGGGGCCCCCTTTGGGGGCCCCCAAAGGGTACTCTCAAAGGACGTCCCCCAAAAGGGGGGTCCCAAAGGGGGCCTGCAAAGGGGGCCCCCAAAGGGGGCCCCCAAAGGGGGCCTCCAAAAAGAGGGACCGAAAGGGGGCCCCCAAAGGGGGCCCCCAAAAGGGGGCCCCCAAAAACGAGCCCACAAAAGGGGAGCCCCCAAGGGGGCCCCCACAGGGGGCCCCCAAAGGGGGGCCCCCAAAAAGAGCTCTTCGGGGCCCCCAAAAGGGGCTGGGGGCCCCGCAAGCCACTTTAGGGGCCCCCAAAAATGGGCTGGGGGCCCCAGTGGCGGCTTGGGGGGCCCCGGGTACAGATTGGGGGCCCCTAGTGGAACTTTGGGGGCCCCAAGAATGCTTTGGGGGCCCCACAAGCAACTTAGGGGGCCCCCAAGACAGATTGGGGGCCCCCCAGGCCTCGGGGGCCCCTTTTGCTTTTAGTTTGCTGTTTGTAAAAATAAATATAAATAAGTAGCTGGATTGCCCCTTAGGGTTTAGGGTTTAGGGTTTAGGGTTTAGGGTTTGGGCGGCTGCTGCTGCTGCCGTGGCCCCTGAGGAGTCTTTCGCTGCTGCTGCTGCTTCTGCTGCTTCTGCTGCAGCTGCAGTTCTTGCTGCTGCTGCGCTTGCTGCTGCAGCAGCTGCTGCTGCTCCTGGATTTCCTCCTGCTGTTGCTTCTTCTCTTGCGGTTGTTGTTGAAGGAGTGTTTGCTGCTGCAATATCTCCTGCTGCTGCTGCGGTTGCTGCTGCTGCAGTTGCTGCTGCTGCAGTTGCTGCTGCTGCACTTGTTGCTACTGCTTTTCTGCTGAAGATGCTGCAGCGCTACGTTCTGCAGAGCCTGCAGCTTCGCGTTTGCTGCTGCTGCTGCTGCTGCTGCTGCTGCTGATTTTGCCATTCACTGCTGCTGCTTTTGCTGCTGCTTGTACAGTGTCCTTGCTCTTTGCTGCCGCTGCTGCTGCCGTTGCTGCTGCTGCTGCTGCTGCTGAACTGGTCGGCGTTGCTGGGGCTGCTTTGTCCCTTGCTGCTGTCGTGCCTGCTTCTGCTGTTGCTGTTGCTGCTGCTTCTGCTGTTGCTGTTGCTGCTGTTGCTGCTGTTGCTGCTGCAGGCAGTGCTGCCGCTGCTGCGGCTGTTCGTGCTGCTGCAGAAGAAAGTGCTGCTGCTGCTGCATCGTGTGCTGCTGCTGCTACCACCTGCGCTCTTTTGGCTGCTTCTGCTGCTGCTGCGTCTGCTGCTACTGCTGCTGCTTGTATCTTCTGTGTCGCTGCTGTGTCTGCTGCTGCTTTGGCTGCCTTGGCTGCTGCTGCACCTTCAGCTTTTTTCTCCGCTACTGCTGCTGCTGCGCTTGTTGCTGTTGCTGCTGTTGCCGCCGCGTCCTTGGCTTCTGCTGCTGCTGCTGCTGCTGCTGCTGGTGGTAGAACTGCTGCTGTTGCTGTTGGACCCGCTGCTGCTGCTTCTGCTGCTGCAGGTGCTGCAGCAGGTGCAGCTGATGCCTTTGCATCCTTCCCAGCTGCTGCAGTGTCGGTCCCCATGTTCTCTGCTGCTGCTGCTGCTGCTGCTGCTGCTGCTGCTGCTGCACTTCCAGCTGCCTCTAGGCCTGGCAGCCCACTCCAGTGTACAGAAGCGCCCAAGACAGAGTCGCGCAGTTCGCTGCTGCGGCTGCTGCTGCTGCTGCTGCTTCTGCTGCGGCCTTCGTTGCTGCTGTCGCTGCCGCTGTCGTTGCTGCTGTCAGCGACGCCGCTGCTGCTGCTGCTGCTGCTGTTGTTGCTGCTGTTGTTGCTGCTAATCATTGTATGTCTTTTCTTTTCTTGAGCAGCAAAAGCAGACTCAGACAAAAGGCCCCCCAGGGGCCCCCTGGGGCTCCTTAGCCCGAGGAGGCTCTTGGGGCGGGGGGCCCCCAGGGGGCCCCCCGGGGGCCCCAGGAGGCCCCCCGGGGTCTTGTGGGGCCCCGCAGGGGCCCCCTGGGGGCCCCCGGGGGGCCCCTCCTCTTGGGGGACTTCAGAGTGCCTGTGCTTCCCCTTGGGGGCCCCTTGGGGGCCCCCTTGAGGGGCCCCCGAAAGTCTTTTTTGAAGTCCTTTTTTCTTTTGTTGTTGCTGTAGAGAGAGCTCCGCCTGCGGTGTACATACAGCTCAGAAGCTGAGGTGTATCGACAGGTCCACTGGTCCACTTGCATGCAAAAGGAAACTCACATCTCTTGCCTGCGAGCAAAACAAGAAAAGAAATAAACAAATATTAATTAATTAAATTAAAACAAGAAAAGAAATAAACAAACATTAATTAATTAAATTAAAAAGGACATTTGTTTTAAATGCAATAAACAAAAAGGGGCAGCAAAGGACTTCTATTCAAATGCTGCCGCGGTTTAAGTGCAGCAGCAAATACAGCAAGAGCTCTGGCTCTCAAGGGTCTAGGGTTTAGGGTTTAGGGTTTAGGGTTTGGGGTTCCGCACCATCTGTCAGTCGATTGGTTCTTATCAAAACAGAGTAATCATAAACAAACCGCAATCAACAAATAATTAAATAAATAAATAAATAAATAAATAAATAAATAAATAATTAATTAATTAATCAGTTACTTAATTAATTAGTTTAAAGAATCTGCGCCGCTGCTTTGTCTCGCCTTCCGCTGGCATATATATATATATATATATATATATATATATATATATATATATATATATATATATATATATATATATATATATATATATA